TTTTCCTCAAGTTTTGAAACGTCTAATATAATATATGACTTTCTGTGCGACGTTACATCTATTTGTAAACAGTGTGCACATACTTAATTATATAACAAAATATGAATACATTCATAATTTTGTTATATAAAAATACACAAACAAGTGTATTTTATATTTCTAAAATACACTTGTTTGTGTGTTTGAGCTTCTGATAAAAGTTCATTTTAATATAGTAATCTGTCTGATACACAACCACCATAGCCAGCAGATAATAAACTAATTGCCTCAGTAAACTAATTGTTGTTTTTTATATTTCTTTATATTTTTTTCCAAAACAATTTTTGTAGGTTATTCTTTATTGCTCCAAAATTTGGCCAAAAATCAGATTAACAACTCTAGCAGAAAATTGATTTTATTATTTTTAAGATCTACACTATTGCAGGGCTACTGCAGAAAAGTATGCAGTATCTTTGTTTGATGGACTATGTTTTAGCTTTATAAGCACAATATTAAGATGGTCCTCCAACAACAATTGCAAGTGAACTAAGTTTTAACTCTTTTGAAGAGGGACATTAACATACATTACGATAAGTTAAAAAAAAAATTCTTTTGTTTATCTGATGTAAGGTTTTGGTATGAAATATTTACTTTGTTCAAGTAAAGCTTGTTTTTTCAAGTTTAATAATTCAATTAAGTTTAGTACTGCATTAATTAAAAGTAAAAAAATTAAAATTCTGCTTTATAAATACTGTGTTGATAATATTTAGAAATAGTAGGCTTATTATTGGTGGTTTGGTGTCATAATGTATTTTCTCAGTATAGCTATCCAGATCTATATTGAAGATAGTATTGTTAGTCAAATGATTGTTGTTTTTTACATAAAGCTTCATAGATTACTTTTTCTTCTCTTTTTTAGATCGAACTAGAAATTGGAATTATGAAATCAGCTGGATTAGGCTAATTCATTAACTTTAATCAAGTTTTTATGTCTTCTACTTTTTAAAATTGATTTTCTAAAAGAAACTCTATAAACTTTAAATCCACATTAGTTTTCACATCTTTTTGGATAACTAGTTACACAACAGCTTGTTGAAATATTTTAATTCTTGTTAAAAAATAAATTTATTTTTTTCATACAAATATCAAAATACTTTTATTGAAAAATTTCTGAATATTTGTTTTTCTGCCTACAAGTATGCGCACAAATCTATTTTTGAAAATGAGGGTGTAAGCATTTGCAAGTCATCTGTAAAACTAGCAAATGGTTGTGACCAAGTTGTCTAAAATATAAAACTTATGTGTGGATATACAACACAAAACACCGCACGCATCTCCTGGGAAGGCTTGTCCTGTGTAAACAAGTACCACACATAATATTGAACTAAGTAGTTAACAAAATCCACATCATTACACAACACTCCATAGTTAACCCATCATTTACATATTCAAACTTCACTAGACAATGCACACCAAACTCTTTAATAAAGTGAGTAAAAGCAAGAAAATACAAAGACATAGTAAATATTGATTTTTTATGAAAAAGTTTAAATAGAAAATTCATAAATATAAAAAATATATTTTTCATCTAGTCATAAGGAGTTGCCTACAATCTGTATGCAGTATTCTATAATCTATATGCAGTAAATGAAATAATTATTGTTAACTATTTCATAAGTATATCATAAATTTTAATATACCAATAGTTTATTTTGATAGATATTATATTTCTTTCTTTACTTATTATCTTAATTCAATATAATTACTCATATCACTGATTCCCTGACTCCTTGACTCCATGATTTTGTAACACATTAGTGATTAATAATAAAAATAAAATTATTTCAAGTAATTAATCAATTATTTTCGACATCATTTACCTGTGAAATATTTTAATATCAGTTTAAACATGATTAAAAAAAAAAACTTACTTTACAAAGTAAGTAAATATTTATTTATTTAATTACAAATATATAATAAATTTTTATCATGTTTTAATATTTAAACAAGTCTTAAGAAATCATTTAAACGGTACGATAAAAGAAATAATTAACATTATAAAAATCACATATGAATGATTATGTAAAAAAGTTTGCATGGCAATTACATTTGATATTTGCGCTATTTACAAATATAATAGCTTAAGAAAAAACAAAGAAAAATCTTTTTTTATTAACCTTGTTATAGACCTATCTCCATTACATGTACTAGCTGTCGTGTCATGGAAAGTATTGTTGGTTCAAGTATTGCTGATTATCTTAATATAAATAATCTAATAACACCTAATAAACATGGCTTTTATCCAAAAGATCTATGTGCACAAATCTTCTAGAGTCAACTAATGACTGGAATAAAGCTTTAGATAGCAATTTAATTACTAACGTGGTGTACATTGATTTTCAAAAACCATTTGACTCTGTGCCTCATCCAAAACTTTTGAAAAAACTTGCAATGTACGGTATAATAGATAACCTCCTTCATTGGATATCAGCATTTCTTTCCACAAGATATCAAAGGGTTC